CATATGTATGTACATATATATCAGAATTTAGAATAAGTGTATAGCTACAATTTTATAAAAATGAATCACTTTCATATAGCATTAAAAAAACCAGTATACGTGATCATGTACGTACACGATGTCCAATAAACAATTTGAATACGCCATCCAATAGGATTCAAGAATTCGCACACAAATAGTTCCTGTAAACTATACACTTTGTTACTTCATACTACATTCCTGGTAAATATGATGATCCTATTAATGAATTCGAAAGTTTTTTAAAACTTCTAACAATGATTTCCCAATAACTACTTGATAAAATTTGGTAACCAATTTTTTATTTTAATTCTATAGATTTGTAGAATTAAAATAAAAAAAGAGTTAATTGATTTTAATTCAGTAGTTGCCAAGAAATCATCGCTAAACATTTTAAAAACATTTAAAATCAGGTGAATTTTTAGCTTTTAACAGAGATAACTAGTATGTGCTATTTATATAATACCTGAAAATTTTTAATATACAGTATGTACAGTATTGGGGTGTCTAATGCATATCGATTTACAAACATAGTACAGGTAATATAGTAAAAATCACTAATCAATTTTTTTATAATTAAAATTTCTAAGATCTGTATACAATATCAAAAACTATAGAAAAGTTGCCATCTTTTGTCTTAAATTCATCTTGCAATATCAACTATTTTTAATTATATAAGTACAAAATGTTTAATAAGAGGTGTCTTTATATGCTATCAATGTTAGAATTTTTATTTTACTAATTATGAACATCTTTAATTCGAAGTGCAGTTAGTTTATTAAAAAGTCATATAACTGATTAACGTTATACAAGATAATGATAAAATAAAGCAAAAAAAAAAAATCTATTGCTATTTTTTATTTCTTATAAATACAAAAAGGTATTTAATATTTATAATATTACGTATTAATATTTATTTAAAAGTTCATAACTTAAACTAAATATCTATTTTGTATAATACAGCTTATAGATTTGCAGTTTTTTTGTTATATCGCCAGGTAAGAAAACTGCTAAAAATTTCATATACTTTTTCTTTCTTAGAAATCTCATTACTATCCAATTGCTTAGTGACTTTAGAGCTACTGGTGCTTTTCTAGTGGCTTCGCAACATGTCCTGATAGATTTCCTGAAGTCCACCATCCAAACCCGAAAGTTAAATGTGTGATTCTTGTAATTGAGTATTCATATTTTGGTGGACTTTCATGTCACAACGATTGAACAATTCTTCCAATTGTTGCTGATAGACCACAATGCTCCATATTCGAAATTTAATGAATTCATAGATAAGGGGGTATTTTGCCAGTTCTGATATATCAGAATTAGCAAATTTTTTAAATTCTTCAAAAAAGTTTCGTTGTTCTAATGCTTCTAATAATCCAAATGTATTTAAATGTTCATTAAGTAGATCTTCTTTTAGAAGCTTAACAGTGTTGGCCAAATATGGACATGAACAATATGGACTATTGGACATGGACAAATATAGACTATGTCCATATTGTCTATATTTTTTGATTGGACATAGGCACTTAGTCCAAAGGCCAGCACATGATTTGTGTAACTTTAATTATAGGTTTTGATTGGCTAAATAATTAAACCCCGAAATATCTTTACGTAAATTTTTTGTGCTTACACTATAATATAGTAAGAATCTTTTATTTTCTTTCTTGTATTATTAAATTGATTCTCGCCTGTCCCAAGCATTTATCAAAGCATTTTTTTTTTTTTTTTAAAAAGTTTCAGATTTCTTAAATGTTATTACCGACTCAATTAATATATCGTGATAAATAAAGCAATTTATTTCAGTTTATATTTGTATTTTCTTTGAGCTAAAATGTTTTTAAACGTATTGGCCTATGATTTTTTAGATATAACCTAAATGGTCAACGCTATTCTTAAAAACCTTTCTTAAATTTAAAAAATACTTAACTTACAAAAGTTTAAATAAAATATAATAAACACGAAAACCCCACCAATGTATTTATATTTATAATTATCTATCTGCTAATACATTTTTACAATTATCTAAAGTGTGTAAGTAATTCTTAATTTCTTAACACAATTTCATTATTTGGATCAATTCTAATAACTACTTAAATTTATAAAGGATTCTTTATATTCGTTGATAAATTTCTCTACTCTTATTTAAAGCTGTTATATAGTTTGAGTCGATTTCTAATGATATATTTAAAGCCTGCAAGTTCACGATTATTAAATGCTATATTATGTTATTAATTTTTAATTAATTAGTTAAATCAGCATTTACTGTAAATAAAATTGCCACTTAAATACCTAATCACCCAAAAGCAGATGAATAGAATCAGGTTGGTTTAATGAATCCGTAAAAATATCTGTCAGTTTCCACTTTGCTTCCAAATTATCTGCGGGGTGAATTAAATAATCTTGATGCATTACTTCATCTTCATCATCATATAAATCAGTTTCTAATTCATCTGAACTAGATGAATTAGATTGCATATGCTCATATCTTCTTCAGTTAGATTAATCCTTTCTTCTACAATTACTTTCTAGTCATCTACGCATTTAACTGCTTCTATATGATCACTATCTCTGGTGTATTCTGTATCAATATCATCATTGTCAGTATTTTCTTCTGATAATATAAATTCATCTTCGTTATCATCATTAGGATTTATTTGTTTAAACAGAATAGCAATAGTTTGCTTGTATGTTTTTAATGACTTGTCAATTGTCACAATATTTTGTAAACATAAAAGCTCAGATCTTATTTGGCTCATGGGAAGGACTTTTTTATACTATTAAATGTAAAATATAATAAACGTGATTAATTGGACATTTCAATACCAATGCAAATGTAATTTCTCCTTAACAAATAATTTATACAAAAATAACAGTCTGAGTTAGCAGTTCGAAAAATCATTTTTTTTGTTAGAGTGCAAAGGTAGTTTTTTTTTTAGTTTGTCTATTAGAGTTATGACACATTGCATTGGCAATAAATTATATTAGATTAATATTAGAAAATATAAAATAAGTTTGCCTGAAGTCG